CTTTCATCTTACTAACAGCTCTGTGAGGTACAGTTTCATTACCATCCTCATTTTTGAAATGAGGACCAGGGGCCTTTTGAGAGATTAAGCCCCTTGCCTGGGGTCTCACATCTAGTTAGAGGCAGGGCTGGGACCCAAATAGCAGTCTGACTCCAGAGACGGAGTGTTTAACCAGGAGGTAATACTGACTTTAACCGCTGCCCTCCTGCTCTGTCCAGCCCCGGACAATCAGGATGTTCCTCCTGACATCTAACTAAATCTCACTCAGTGGCTTCAAGTCCCCATCTTCTGGAGAGAAATTTGCTCCCTGCCCTCAAAAGGGGAGGGGGCTTGCCTAGCACAGAGGTAGAGGAATGAAAGGCATGGCCTCTCGGGGTTGCCACTGGCCAGAAGGATGGGGGAGTCTCTATCTACCCTGGGATATTCTTCCTCCAAGCTCCGCCAGCCCCTGCTCTCTGCCCCCAAACTCTGGGGGCACTTACTCCTTTCCTTTCCTCTACCTGGGGCCTTTCTCCCCACCCCACCTCCCCCAGGGCTGCCCCCAACCCCTCTTCTGCCAGACCCTGCCCTTCCTCAACCACACTCCCTCTCCCAGGCACCAGTGACTTTCTTTGACTCCACGCCCACGGGCCGGGTCCTCAACCGCTTCTCCTCAGACGTGGCCTGTGTGGATGACAGTCTGCCCTTCATCCTCAACATCCTCCTGGCCAACGCAGCAGGCCTGCTGGGCCTCCTGGCTGTGCTGGGCTCTGGCCTGCCCTGGCTCTTCCTACTGCTGCCACCTCTGAGCGTCATCTACTACCGTGTGCAGCGCCACTACAGGGCCTCCTCCCGGGAGCTGCGGCGCCTGGGCAGCCTCACCCTGTCTCCGCTCTACACACACCTGGCTGACACCTTGGCCGGCCTCCCCGTGCTCCGGGCCGCCGGGGCCACCTACAGGTGTGTGGAGTCTGCCTCTCTCAAACAGAGCCGGGTGATGAGATGCCGTGGGCCGGGGGGGGGCTTCTTCAGGTCTCCTAAGAAGAGAGGGTGGGTGAGGGCAGAGGTGGGGGAAGAGGAAAGAAAACAGACAAAAAGGAATAGGGATGGAGGCAGAGCAGACCCCCAGCAGGAGAGCATGCCGGCCTCTGTACCCCTGAGGTGAGGCCTGTGATCTGCTCCAGGAAGGAGGCGTTCTGTGGGGAAGGAGTCTGGGCAGGTCATTGTGACAGCCAAGTGGCCTCGCTTCCCTCCTGGTCTCCTCCAGGTTTGAGGAAGAGAACCAGAGGCTGCTGGAGCTAAACCAGCGGTGCCAGTTTGCAGCTAGTGCCACGATGCAGTGGCTGGACATCCGGCTACAGCTCATGGGGGCAGCCGTGGTCAGCGCCATCGCAGGAATCGCCCTGGTGCAGCACCAGCGGGGCCTCGCCAACCCAGGTGCCGCCCTGAGACCCTTCCCTCTCCCCTCAGGAGTGTGTCAGTCCCAGCCCCTTCTCTGCACCGTCCCCCCAACATTTTTGCCTCCCACCCAGGTTCCCTGTGAGGCTGTTGGAATTCTCATCACCCCTGTTTTAGAGTTGAGGAAACTGAGTCTCAAGGAGTCATTCACCCTGGTGGTGGTGGACCTGAGACTAGAAGGAGTCCTCTGACCTTCGTCCCTTCCCTGCCCCACCCCATCCCCAGCACTCGTCCCTGGCCTGCCTGTCTTCCACCTAGCTGCCCTCTAGCCTCTCCAGGCCCACTCCCCTCTCTTGCATCTAGCCTCCTGTCGTTGTGGTCTGGGTCCTGCTTCTCTGCTGGCTTCCTTTAAATGCCCACAGTCCACAGCTTGGATGCTTCCATTCTGCCCCACGTGCATCCCATTATCCAGGCCTCCCTTAGCGGCTGGTGCTCTTTCCCCCCAGGACTGGTGGGCCTGTCACTGTCTTATGCCCTGTCCCTGACGGGGCTGCTCTCGGGCCTGGTGAGCAGCTTCTCGCAGACAGAAGCCATGCTGGTGAGCGTTGAGCGGCTGGAGGAGTACTCCTGTGACCTGCCCCAGGAGCCCCGGGGCTGGCCACCACAGGTAGGCCTGCACCCCCACCCCAAGCCTGGGCGCTGGAACTCCAGAGGACCCTCCTGACAGCCCATCTGTCCCCCAATTGCTTTCCTTTCACTCCTCACCATCTTTCTCAGCTCCTCTAAGGTCCCCACACGATCTCCCCATTCTTCCCTGGGGTCCCTCATCTTTGTGTCTGTTCTCCCATCTCCTCTGCACTTGCCCTCGCTTTCCTCTCACAGCATCCATTTCCCACTGTTCTCCCCCACTTCCACTCTCCAGCCACCCCCCACTCACTCTTCCATGTCTCACACATCTCCCACCCTCTCCATGGACCCCACCAGCTGGGCACCAGCTGGCTGAGCCAGGGAAGCGTGGAGTTCCAGGATGTGGTGTTGGTGTACCGGCCGGGGCTGCCCAATGCCCTGGACGGGGTGACCTTCTGCGTGCAGCCTGGGGAGAAGTTGGGTATCATCGGCCGCACAGGCTCCGGCAAGTCTTCCCTGTTGTTGGTGCTCTTCCGGCTGCTGGAGCCCAGTTCGGGGCGAGTGCTGCTAGACGGGGTGGACACCAGCCAGCTGGAGCTCGCCGAGCTCAGGTCTGGGGGAGGGAGAAGAGGGGAGCCAGTCTACTGGCACTTAGAGAAAGGCCCGGCTGGGAAGGTTTTATATAGTTCAGGGCAGCCAGGGCCGATCAGGGGGTGGGACAGAGGATAGGACAGGCAGGTGAGGATACCAAGTTCTTTTGCTCAGGGGCAGACTCATAGCTGTGGCCTCAAGGTCCTCAGGCTGACGCAGACCCACCTTTCCAGTTTCTTCTTTCGTGTACTTGCCAGCATACACCCTCCATTCCAGACCACCAGCCCTGCCTTCTGAAACAGAGCCTCCCACAGTGCTGTGCCCGAGATTCTGAAACCCTCACTTCTCAGGCTCTGCAGGAGGTGCTTGGGACAGCTCGGGCCTGGGCCACTTGCCCCTGTGGCCTCATCTAGAGCTAACACCCGGCCACGACCACCACCAAATTAGCCTAGTATCATTTTTGCTGAGTTCCCTGACATGGGAAGGAGAGGAACGCTCTGTCTTCGAGCCCATTACTGGTCCTGGGCTCTGGCCTTAGCCTTCCTGCCTTCTCCTTTAACCTGTGGTGGCCTTACCTTAGGCTCCTCAGGACTCAATTCCAGGCCTGCCTCCAACCTTGAAGCACTCCCCCCACCCCCCGGTTCAAACTCTCTGGTCCTTGACAGTCACTGCTGCCCTGGTGACTGCTGGAGTCAGGGCCACACAGTTGAGGCCACTCCTGTTCTCTGTGTTCTCTGCCTCAGTGAGATGTAAGCCCCTCATGGTCAGTCAGGCCTTTGGCTTTTCGGGTATTCCTCATAGCACTGGTATAGTTCTAGGCATGGCTGGCCAGCTGGGGAGCAGAGGGGGTTATGTTCAGATCTTCTCCCCGAGCCATCCTGGAGGTGCTAGATCTGGAGCTAGAACCTGTGCTGGGAGCAGAAGTGGCTGCATCTCCAGCCGAGACCCCATGTCTTTTCCCTCCTTATCCCCCAGGTCCCAGCTTGCTATCATTCCCCAGGAGCCCTTTTTGTTCAGTGGGACTGTTCGGGAAAACCTGGATCCCCGGGGCCTGTATGAGGACAGGGCCCTGTGGCAGGCCCTGGAGCAGTGCCACCTGAGTGAGGTGATCGTATCCATGGGTGAGGACTAGGCCTTCCCCTGCTGGGTGGCAGAGGAGGGAGCGAGGAGAGGCCAGGCCTAGGGGTGAAGGTGCTGTGCCTTGCAGGTGGTCTGAATGGCGAGCTGGGTGAGGGGGGCCGGAGCTTATCCCTTGGGCAGAGGCAGCTGCTGTGTCTGGCCAGGGCTCTCCTCACAGATGCCAAGGTAAGGCGAGAGAAAGAGACATTCAAGAGGGTGAGGAAGAAGGTAGGGGACCTGGCAGGAGAGAGGGAACAGGTTTGGGAGAGGTTTCAGGGGACCAGGTTGGTTTTCCTTTTAATGCTTTAGAGCTGGAGATGAGGGCTGTGGGCCAGGCTGGGCCAGACCAGGAGCTGAGGTGTGGTGGTTGGGGCTTGGCTGACCCTCTTCTTCCTCCTCCTCAACCGTCTCTACATGTGTCAGATCTTGTGTATTGACGAGGCCACAGCAAGTGTGGATCAGAAGACAGACCAGCTGCTCCAGCAGACCATTTGCAAACGCTTTGCCAACAAGACAGTGCTAACCATTGCCCACAGGTTGGCAAACATTCAGTGAAAATTAATCAAGTGCTATGGTGGCATGGACCTAGAGCCTCCCTTCCTTTCAGGGGCCCGAGGGGTTAGGGCTCTAGAGATCCCAGTCCCTGCCAGAGTCTCAGCTCATTCTCTAGGCACTGACCCAGGCCCTTTGCAGAGCATTGTCTGAGAGAATCTGCAGCCCCACCCCTAGCACAGAGCTAGGGCTGCCCCGGCTCTGCAGAGCTGTGGACAGATCCATGCTGCCCAGGAGAGGACAGGGGAAAGCAGATCAGCTTTCTTCAGGGCATTGTCCTCTGTCCCCCTACTGACCACCTTCTCCCACACAGGCTCAACACGATCCTGAACTCGGACCGGGTGCTGGTGCTGCAAGCAGGCAGGGTCGTAGAGCTGGACTCCCCTGCCGCCCTGCGCAGCCGGCCCCACTCGCTGTTCCAGCAGCTGCTGCAGAGCAGCCAGCAGGGAGCCCCCTCCCCTCCCTGAGGGCCCCGCCCTGATCGCCCACCCTGCAGGCCTGCCCTCTGTCTTACCCACTGCTGGGGGGCGCAGATGTGCTGGCTGCTTGTTTACATTCTCCTCTGTAGGTCTACCTCTCCCTCACCTCCCCAGAGGGGAAAAGGATACCTGGGCTCCCTCTTTGGAAATCAGTGTTCTTGTGGGGCAGAGTCGAACTTCCTCAGAAACAGGCCTCTCCTCTGATCCTCTTACATCTGGGGCCTCCGGGACACTTTTCCAGCAAAAGAGCCCGCATGCACTTTCATAGTTTTATTTGATAAAATTCCCATCTTACATTCTGTGTATTAAAAAAATAATACTTCTGGTGTGGGGCAGAGGTCCCTCTGTGTGCCCCGCTGAGGGGTGGTGAGGAAGGACTGCTCCAGTCTGAGGGTGGAGGAGGTGAAGGAGGGGCCGGAAAGCCCCTACGTCCATCACAGTGCAGTAGTCTTTCCAGGCTCTGGGGGCAGGTCAGGGGGTAAGGGGAGCCCCGCCGGCAGCATGCTAACCTGGCACTCCTGGTCCTGACACGCCGGGGCATAGTGTGGGGCAGGGTAGCAACAGGGCGCAGCAGGGCAAACACCTCGGCGCCAGGCCCTCAGGGTCAGCAACACTGTGGACAGGACCAGGGCAGCAGTGAGGGCCCCAAATACCACCACGGCCACCAGGCTAGACTCACCTAGCCCGGCCTCCTGCCTCCGCACCACCTCCTTCACTGAGATGCGCAGCAGACCAGCCCCCACACTGTGGGGGACAGGCCCTGTGGCAGGTGCCACCACAGCCGAGGTGGGCCCCAGGGGAATGCCTGCTGTGGTGGTGGGATCTGGGACAGGTAAGACTAGCTCACAGGTCTTGCCACCATAGCCACTGGGGCAGAGACAGTGAAAGTCATGGACGCGGTCCCGACAGCGGGCTCCTCTCTGGCATGGGCGGCTGGCACAGTCATCCAGGTTGATGGTGCAGAAGCGTCCAGCAAAGCCCTCAGGGCAGAGGCAGGAGAAGCGGTTTATGCCATCCAGGCAGGTGGCGCCATTGGCACAGGGCCGCATCAGACAGTCGTCTGCATTCACCTCACAGCGGGCACCCACAAAGCCTGCCAAGCAGCGGCACGTGAAAGTGAGGGCAAAGCCCTGGTCATCCTGGCACTGCCCGCCATTCCGGCATGGGTTGCTGGGGTGAGGAAGAGGGCACTGAGACCGACTTATACCTGCAGAGTACCCTGGGCAGCATCCTGACCACTCTTCCACCCCCTTCCCAGCTGTGCCATCCTGAGCTACTCTCTGAGCCTTAAATGCCTCATTTTAAAAATGGGAATACAAACAGCTATCCAAATTGTGAGGGTTAAATTAGATGATCCAACGTCAAGCAGTTGGCACAGGGCCTGGCCCAAAGGCAAGAAGCGTATGATCAGGCCTGAGGCAGAAATGAGAACGAGTCCAGCCCTGCAGGTCCGTTCCCTCATTCACAAAGAGGCATGAAGCTGCTGTGGAACATCTTCAGGGGTTGTGTGCCAGCTCTCCTGGGAGGATGAGGGAGTCCTAGGTCCTCAACCTCCCCACACCCCCACCTCCCCAGCCAGAGCAGCCACACATTGAGCTGGTACACCTCCAGCTCCTACAGATTCTTGTTGGAGAAATAGTTCAGATGGAATAGAACTATTTCTTGAAAGAGTTGAGCAACCCTGAACGAGGGACACTTCAGCAGGCTGGGGTTTCATCCTGGGGTACCCTCACGTGGGACTTCTGACAGCTGTAATACCTCACCACCACCCTCCCAACAGTCCTGCCTCCTCTTCCCTCTGTCATCAGAGTCTCATCTAACTTCCCGTTCACCCCAAAGGCCAGTATTCACCCTGCCTGCTCGCAGGGTCCAGCCTTGCGCTCACAGTCATGCCCATGGAAGCCTGGTGGGCACACACAATGATACTCGCCACCGCCATCATATACGCACTGGCCTCCGTTCAGGCAGGGGGACTGCGTGGTGCAGATGTGCTCATCTGGACAGGAGACAGGGAAGGCTCTGGGTTAGCCCCTTACATCTGGCACCCAGACGTGCCCAGGCCCTACCCAGAGCTCTGTGGCATGATTCATACTACAAACCCACCCGAGGCTGGTATGGTGTCATGGGGGAAAACAACTGAACTTGGAGTCAGAAATCTCCTAGCCCTGGCACTGTCTGTCTCAAAAGTGACTTCAGGCAAGTTGTATCTCATCTGTGGTTCTCACTTTTCATCTGTAAAATGAGTACAATTTTCAGCAGCTGCCCTGCCTACCTCATGGGGTTATGTTGAGGACCAGTTCAGGCAACAGATAGTTATAAAGTCTAAAATGATACAATGCCATGTATCTGAGGGTTTGAGCCAGACACAACAGGTGCTCAATATAGATGGATTGTCTCCCAAGACACGTGGAGTCCCCAGTCCAACAGTTACCCCCTCTACTTCCCTACCTTTGTCACAGAACTTGCCCGCCCAGCCACTGTAACAGATGCACTGCCAGGGCTGGTGGCAGGTACCATGCTGGCAACCAGGCATCCGTACACAGCGCTCACAGTGCAGCCCCTCCCAGCCTGGGTCACACCTGATGGGGAGAAGCAGAGGCTCAAGGCTCTGGGTAGGCGGAAGTGAGGAAATGGAGCAGGCAAGGCCAGAGCTGGGAACAGGAGGATGTGTGGTAGCTGCCAAGGGAAAGCCTGCCTATCCCGGGCAGGTGTAGGGTTGTGCAGAGTCAGAGGACACACATATGGAATTAGACCATCAGACTCCAGCATTCAAATCCTGGTTCTGCACTTTGTCTAACCTTTTCACATGTAAACTGGGGATACACGTGGCAGGGATGTGTTGAGGAAGAAATTGAATAAGATATCTATATAGGCCCCCAGTATAATTCCGGGCATGTCTGAGTTGCTCAGATATGCTTTAAAAAAAGAGTGACGTTGAAAGGTCATCAGGACTACCTTTCCCCCTTGATCCCAGGGCAAAGGCCTGATCTATTCTGGAGAGTCCCAAACACCCTCAGGCCCTCCAGCAGCTTGCCCTGTCAGCTTATTCCTTAGGTCCATACACGATTTCATCTTGCTATAGAGTTTGCCCAAACCCCACCCCAGTGACTCAATAACCCAAATTCATTAGGAAAGATCCTCTTTCATAAGTGCTTCTCCCTAGCAACCCTCCCGCCCTGTAGGCTTTCTTTTCCAGGCTAAATTCTGTTTGTTTTCCTTGATCTCCTCCCTATGGCTCCCAATCTCCAAAACTCTCAAGCTTCAAGTCTTTCTCCTGGTATTTTGAGGAGTGTTTCAGAATTCCTGGTTCAGGCTTGGGAGAATAAAGAAGTGGGGAAACATACACTAGAAGTAAAAGAAAAGCAGGGCACAGGGGAGCTGGGGGTCAGGGAGAGGCTGCCCAGTCAGCACTGCCTGCCACCAGGGGATGGGGAATGAACAGTGGGGTCTTAGGCCATTAGACCCTCTGGGCTGGGGCTTAACCTGGTGGGTGTGGAGGGCTGGGAGATGGGGTGCAAAGAGTCTGTTGGGAGCACGTGCTTGAGAGAGGTACCTGCAGGAGCCGTCAGGCGCACAGCAGCCGTGGGCCAGGTCACAGTGGGAGCTGCAGTCATCGGCTGCAAGAGATTGATGTGAGAAAGGTGAGCCCGAAGTCAGGGTTCGGCTCTCTGAGATACAGGTCTCCGGAGACGATTCGGAGCCCCAATAATTGGGTGCGCTTAGCTCTGGGACAGAACAGACTCATCCTGTTAAAGCTGACGATCTGGATCTCTCCAACCCATCGCAGCGGCTGCAGTGCCGTCTCCGGCCGGCAGAGGTCAACATGCAAGCGTGGGACGGCCGGACAGGGCCGGGACCCGAGCCCCGGGGCGCGCTCACCTCGGGCAGGCTGAACGGGTGCCCCCAGGATGCACAGCAGGCACACGAGATGTAGGCAGCGGCAGCCGTTGGGCATGGTCAGCGCCGGCCCCAGGAGGGACGGACGGATGGACGGCCGGACGTGCGGACACCTGTGGGTGGGACAGCTCAGGCTGGCAGGCGGCCGGACGCGGGGATAGCGGCACGGATTCCGGTTCCGAGTGACAGGAGCCGAGGAGCGAGAGGGGCGTCCAGACAGAAGGGAATGGGAGCAGCGGGAGGGCGGGTGCGGGGAAGGGTTGAGCAGGAGAGAGGGTTGGAAGCAAGAACCCTGGAGCGAGCTCTCTGGCAAGGAGGCGAAGGATGGGAGGCGCGGGGCGAGGTCAGGGAGCGCGAGGGGCCGCGACTGGGAACGCAGTCGGCCCGGAGGGGTCAGGGTCTAGAGGCGGCCCTGATCACCGAGGGGACGCCGGGGCCAGTCTCCACTTGCTCCTTTGTGCCCTTCCTATCTCCGCCACGCTCTGCTCGGCCGTGGCGCTGGGCCTGGAACCGCCAGAGCGCCCCTAGCCCTCTCGGTCCTCACCTCCGGCTGGGAGGCGGCGCGTGTGCTAACCATTGCCCACAGGTTGGCAAACATTCAGTGAAAATTAATCAAGTGCTATGGTGGCATGGACCTAGAGCCTCCCTTCCTTTCAGGGGCCCGAGGGGTTAGGGCTCTAGAGATCCCAGTCCCTGCCAGAGTCTCAGCTCATTCTCTAGGCACTGACCCAGGCCCTTTGCAGAGCATTGTCTGAGGGAATCTGCAGCCCCACCCCTAGCACAGAGCTAGGGCTGCCCCGGCTCTGCAGAGCTGTGGACAGATCCATGCTGCCCAGGAGAGGACAGGGGAAAGCAGATCAGCTTTCTTCAGGGCATTGTCCTCTGTCCCCCTACTGACCACCTTCTCCCACACAGGCTCAACACGATCCTGAACTCGGACCGGGTGCTGGTGCTGCAAGCAGGCAGGGTCGTAGAGCTGGACTCCCCTGCCGCCCTGCGCAGCCGGCCCCACTCGCTGTTCCAGCAGCTGCTGCAGAGCAGCCAGCAGGGAGCCCCCTCCCCTCCCTGAGGGCCCCGCCCTGATCGCCCACCCTGCAGGCCTGCCCTCTGTCTTACCCACTGCTGGGGGGCGCAGATGTGCTGGCTGCTTGTTTACATTCTCCTCTGTAGGTCTACCTCTCCCTCACCTCCCCAGAGGGGAAAAGGATACCTGGGCTCCCTCTTTGGAAATCAGTGTTCTTGTGGGGCAGAGTCGAACTTCCTCAGAAACAGGCCTCTCCTCTGATCCTCTTACATCTGGGGCCTCCGGGACACTTTTCCAGCAAAAGAGCCCGCATGCACTTTCATAGTTTTATTTGATAAAATTCCCATCTTACATTCTGTGTATTAAAAAAATAATACTTCTGGTGTGGGGCAGAGGTCCCTCTGTGTGCCCCGCTGAGGGGTGGTGAGGAAGGACTGCTCCAGTCTGAGGGTGGAGGAGGTGAAGGAGGGGCCGGAAAGCCCCTACGTCCATCACAGTGCAGTAGTCTTTCCAGGCTCTGGGGGCAGGTCAGGGGGTAAGGGGAGCCCCGCCGGCAGCATGCTAACCTGGCACTCCTGGTCCTGACACGCCGGGGCATAGTGTGGGGCAGGGTAGCAACAGGGCGCAGCAGGGCAAACACCTCGGCGCCAGGCCCTCAGGGTCAGCAACACTGTGGACAGGACCAGGGCAGCAGTGAGGGCCCCAAATACCACCACGGCCACCAGGCTAGACTCACCTAGCCCGGCCTCCTGCCTCCGCACCACCTCCTTCACTGAGATGCGCAGCAGACCAGCCCCCACACTGTGGGGGACAGGCCCTGTGGCAGGTGCCACCACAGCCGAGGTGGGCCCCAGGGGAATGCCTGCTGTGGTGGTGGGATCTGGGACAGGTAAGACTAGCTCACAGGTCTTGCCACCATAGCCACTGGGGCAGAGACAGTGAAAGTCATGGACGCGGTCCCGACAGCGGGCTCCTCTCTGGCATGGGCGGCTGGCACAGTCATCCAGGTTGATGGTGCAGAAGCGTCCAGCAAAGCCCTCAGGGCAGAGGCAGGAGAAGCGGTTTATGCCATCCAGGCAGGTGGCGCCATTGGCACAGGGCCGCATCAGACAGTCGTCTGCATTCACCTCACAGCGGGCACCCACAAAGCCTGCCAAGCAGCGGCACGTGAAAGTGAGGGCAAAGCCCTGGTCATCCTGGCACTGCCCGCCATTCCGGCATGGGTTGCTGGGGTGAGGAAGAGGGCACTGAGACCGACTTATACCTGCAGAGTACCCTGGGCAGCATCCTGACCACTCTTCCACCCCCTTCCCAGCTGTGCCATCCTGAGCTACTCTCTGAGCCTTAAATGCCTCATTTTAAAAATGGGAATACAAACAGCTATCCAAATTGTGAGGGTTAAATTAGATGATCCAACGTCAAGCAGTTGGCACAGGGCCTGGCCCAAAGGCAAGAAGCGTATGATCAGGCCTGAGGCAGAAATGAGAACGAGTCCAGCCCTGCAGGTCCGTTCCCTCATTCACAAAGAGGCATGAAGCTGCTGTGGAACATCTTCAGGGGTTGTGTGCCAGCTCTCCTGGGAGGATGAGGGAGTCCTAGGTCCTCAACCTCCCCACACCCCCACCTCCCCAGCCAGAGCAGCCACACATTGAGCTGGTACACCTCCAGCTCCTACAGATTCTTGTTGGAGAAATAGTTCAGATGGAATAGAACTATTTCTTGAAAGAGTTGAGCAACCCTGAACGAGGGACACTTCAGCAGGCTGGGGTTTCATCCTGGGGTACCCTCACGTGGGACTTCTGACAGCTGTAATACCTCACCACCACCCTCCCAACAGTCCTGCCTCCTCTTCCCTCTGTCATCAGAGTCTCATCTAACTTCCCGTTCACCCCAAAGGCCAGTATTCACCCTGCCTGCTCGCAGGGTCCAGCCTTGCGCTCACAGTCATGCCCATGGAAGCCTGGTGGGCACACACAATGATACTCGCCACCGCCATCATATACGCACTGGCCTCCGTTCAGGCAGGGGGACTGCGTGGTGCAGATGTGCTCATCTGGACAGGAGACAGGGAAGGCTCTGGGTTAGCCCCTTACATCTGGCACCCAGACGTGCCCAGGCCCTACCCAGAGCTCTGTGGCATGATTCATACTACAAACCCACCCGAGGCTGGTATGGTGTCATGGGGGAAAACAACTGAACTTGGAGTCAGAAATCTCCTAGCCCTGGCACTGTCTGTCTCAAAAGTGACTTCAGGCAAGTTGTATCTCATCTGTGGTTCTCACTTTTCATCTGTAAAATGAGTACAATTTTCAGCAGCTGCCCTGCCTACCTCATGGGGTTATGTTGAGGACCAGTTCAGGCAACAGATAGTTATAAAGTCTAAAATGATACAATGCCATGTATCTGAGGGTTTGAGCCAGACACAACAGGTGCTCAATATAGATGGATTGTCTCCCAAGACACGTGGAGTCCCCAGTCCAACAGTTACCCCCTCTACTTCCCTACCTTTGTCACAGAACTTGCCCGCCCAGCCACTGTAACAGATGCACTGCCAGGGCTGGTGGCAGGTACCATGCTGGCAACCAGGCATCCGTACACAGCGCTCACAGTGCAGCCCCTCCCAGCCTGGGTCACACCTGATGGGGAGAAGCAGAGGCTCAAGGCTCTGGGTAGGCGGAAGTGAGGAAATGGAGCAGGCAAGGCCAGAGCTGGGAACAGGAGGATGTGTGGTAGCTGCCAAGGGAAAGCCTGCCTATCCCGGGCAGGTGTAGGGTTGTGCAGAGTCAGAGGACACACATATGGAATTAGACCATCAGACTCCAGCATTCAAATCCTGGTTCTGCACTTTGTCTAACCTTTTCACATGTAAACTGGGGATACACGTGGCAGGGATGTGTTGAGGAAGAAATTGAATAAGATATCTATATAGGCCCCCAGTATAATTCCGGGCATGTCTGAGTTGCTCAGATATGCTTTAAAAAAAGAGTGACGTTGAAAGGTCATCAGGACTACCTTTCCCCCTTGATCCCAGGGCAAAGGCCTGATCTATTCTGGAGAGTCCCAAACACCCTCAGGCCCTCCAGCAGCTTGCCCTGTCAGCTTATTCCTTAGGTCCATACACGATTTCATCTTGCTATAGAGTTTGCCCAAACCCCACCCCAGTGACTCAATAACCCAAATTCATTAGGAAAGATCCTCTTTCATAAGTGCTTCTCCCTAGCAACCCTCCCGCCCTGTAGGCTTTCTTTTCCAGGCTAAATTCTGTTTGTTTTCCTTGATCTCCTCCCTATGGCTCCCAATCTCCAAAACTCTCAAGCTTCAAGTCTTTCTCCTGGTATTTTGAGGAGTGTTTCAGAATTCCTGGTTCAGGCTTGGGAGAATAAAGAAGTGGGGAAACATACACTAGAAGTAAAAGAAAAGCAGGGCACAGGGGAGCTGGGGGTCAGGGAGAGGCTGCCCAGTCAGCACTGCCTGCCACCAGGGGATGGGGAATGAACAGTGGGGTCTTAGGCCATTAGACCCTCTGGGCTGGGGCTTAACCTGGTGGGTGTGGAGGGCTGGGAGATGGGGTGCAAAGAGTCTGTTGGGAGCACGTGCTTGAGAGAGGTACCTGCAGGAGCCGTCAGGCGCACAGCAGCCGTGGGCCAGGTCACAGTGGGAGCTGCAGTCATCGGCTGCAAGAGATTGATGTGAGAAAGGTGAGCCCGAAGTCAGGGTTCGGCTCTCTGAGATACAGGTCTCCGGAGACGATTCGGAGCCCCAATAATTGGGTGCGCTTAGCTCTGGGACAGAACAGACTCATCCTGTTAAAGCTGACGATCTGGATCTCTCCAACCCATCGCAGCGGCTGCAGTGCCGTCTCCGGCCGGCAGAGGTCAACATGCAAGCGTGGGACGGCCGGACAGGGCCGGGACCCGAGCCCCGGGGCGCGCTCACCTCGGGCAGGCTGAACGGGTGCCCCCAGGATGCACAGCAGGCACACGAGATGTAGGCAGCGGCAGCCGTTGGGCATGGTCAGCGCCGGCCCCAGGAGGGACGGACGGATGGACGGCCGGACGTGCGGACACCTGTGGGTGGGACAGCTCAGGCTGGCAGGCGGCCGGACGCGGGGATAGCGGCACGGATTCCGGTTCCGAGTGACAGGAGCCGAGGAGCGAGAGGGGCGTCCAGACAGAAGGGAATGGGAGCAGCGGGAGGGCGGGTGCGGGGAAGGGTTGAGCAGGAGAGAGGGTTGGAAGCAAGAACCCTGGAGCGAGCTCTCTGGCAAGGAGGCGAAGGATGGGAGGCGCGGGGCGAGGTCAGGGAGCGCGAGGGGCCGCGACTGGGAACGCAGTCGGCCCGGAGGGGTCAGCGTCTAGAGGCGGCCCTGATCACCGAGGGGACGCCGGGGCCAGTCTCCACTTGCTCCTTTGTGCCCTTCCTATCTCCGCCACGCTCTGCTCGGCCGTGGCGCTGGGCCTGGAACCGCCAGAGCGCCCCTAGCCCTCTCGGTCCTCACCTCCGGCTGGGAGGCGGCGCGCCCCTGGGCGCAGAGCGAGGCCGGAACCGACGGGCTCCGCCGAGGGGCTGGAGCGCGGGGCCGCCCCTAGCGGGCTGCGGGGCCGGGCGCCGAGGTGGCTGCCATGCGAGCAGAGCGCTGGGGAATCTGGGGCTCAAGGCGACCCCGAGCGGCGGCGGCGGCGGCGGCTCCTCGAGCGCTCTCAGGCCGCCCGCCAGGGGCGGCGTGTGCGAGCGGAGCCCGCCTCCCCCACCCCAGGGCTGCCGCCGGCGCGTCCCCCACCCGCCCGCGCCCGGCGCCCGGCGGCCACCCCCTCCCAGCACTGCGCACACCGCGCCCGGGCGCTCGCCCCTTCCTCCGCGGCCCCGCGCTCCTCTGGACCCCCACCCTCCGCTGCCACCTAACCTCTCCCAACCTCGCTGTCTTCAACGAAAGGAGGAAATTATGGGAGTCTAAATGAGAGCCGACTGTCAAGTGCCGGCCAAATGAGCGCAGCCGTTATTCTCCCATCTCGCATCCCGGCTTTCCTGACCCGCGCCCCTCACCGCGCGCCCCACCTCTGCTCTCACCAGTCCGCTTCCCATAACGCTTCTCAGTTGTATCCCTTGCACGCTCAGGTCACACTTGCATCTCCCAGCCCTCCTCCTGTCACCAAGCCACGCCTCCTCCGTTTGTAAATCCTGCATCACCTGCTACATCCATCTGCTCCTGTCCTTCACGCTCTCAGCTTCTTTCTGACCTCTTTGCCCCATCCATAGCCTTCGAGGATCTACCTATGCCGACCTAAGTATCAGCCTGACCCACCCCTCTCCGTCCCTCCTTCCATCAAGTCTGTGTTTCCTATCCCATTCCTTTCCGCGACCACCACTGGGAAGCCTCCCCAGACTGGGAGCACCCCGGACTCTGTAAACGTGCCCCCCAAGTCCCCACTTCTGTACCCTGGATCACATCCATTCTTGACCTCAGGCTAATCGTCAACTGCTTAAACCCAGAGCTCAAACTGAGAGGACCACATGCGGAGGACTATCTCTCCAGGCCAGTGGCTCAGAGACACCTGGGCAAGGCAAAGACAGGAAACAGTTTGCGTAGGGCAAGAAGGCAGAGATCAGGAACACGACTGCTTATCTCTAGTTTCTTCACATCAAGATTTCACCAACTTTGAGTTCAAAACATTGGAAGGAGAAGCTCCTACCCTGAGGCTGTTTTCTCCACAGGGGCTGAGACGCTGGACTAATTTTTCTTGCTGTCTTCATTGGACAAAATAGCTTCACCCAGCACATGCCTAGAGCCAATTTACCAGAAACTCTGATCACCTCTTTCCTGAAGAGCTCTCTGAATTTGAGTGCCATGGCTCTAGCCACTTACTTTGTTTAAAAAAATTTTTTCAGTGAAAAATTGCAAACGACCTATAATGTCCAAAATTACTGGAGGCTAAATAGATTATGGTATGTCAACACGATGTGACTATTAAAAGTCACCTTTATGAAGTCTAGAGATGTTTAAAAAAAAGTAAGAATACGTTAAATGGGGATAAGAAAGAAAGAAATAAAGCAAAACCTATCTCAGTGTTGGCAGTGATTTTTTTATTCTGGACAATAGAAATAAAGGTTATTGTTTTCTTACTGAAGCTTTTCAACATTTCCCCCTTTTCCACAATGAACGTGTACAACTTCATTATAAAAGAAATTCAATAACATTAAAGAATTTTTAGAATATAATAAAAAGAAAAAATCACCCATGATCCTAACTTGAGAAAATCACTATTGTTTTGATCCCTTTTCCCAACCAGATGTTTTTTAACCAGTGCTTATCATGTTGTATTCTGTTTTTTTTTTTTAAATGTACCTTTAATGTATCCTGCTTTTGTCTTTTTTACTCCACATCATATATTAATAGTCCTCAAATGGCATAATTATTTTTATGGTTGCCTGATACTCCATTAAATAAATGTATCATAATTTATTTAACCTAGCTCTCATTTTGGGATACTTATGTTGTGCTTACCTTTTTGCCATTATAAATTCATTCAACAAATATTTACTGAGCACCCTTGTGCTACTACTATGTGCCAGACATCATCCTAGGCACTGGGGATGCAGCTCCCAGGTAAATAGTAGTGCCACAAATTTTCATGCACACAGTTTTTTTCCATGGTTTAGGTTTTTTACTTAAGATAGCATCTGAACTGATGAATGACTGATTCAAAGAAGTTGTGAAAAAGGAGCAGGTCCTTTTCACTGATGATACTCATTGGCATTCACTGATGAAACAATAAAGATATTTGGAAGTTGATGGAATCAGACTGTATCACTTAATACTCCCTCATGCTTTGAAGATTTTAGCACCTGGCTTGTTGTCAGTCTCTTCCCTCCCACTTCTGTCAAATCCTTGGTGATCTTGATGATTCAATACCACATAGACAATTCTTCTAATAAGGGTGATAGTTTACTTGCAAAGATGGTCACCATGCTTCCTCCTGTCTGATGTGACCCTTTGCAATGATTTTGCTGCTTCTCTCAGCAAGCGATGAAGTCTGTTTCTCAAGCCCTTGAATCTGGGCTGGTCTTCTGTCTTGCTTTGACGATTAGAATGTGGCAGAAATGCCATTGTGTGAGTCCTCAGAGTCTGGGCCTCAAGAGACCTTGTAGCTTGCCCCTTTGCTCTCTTAGAACACTCCCAGCATGATGTAAAAAAAACTCCAGTGTAGCCTCTCAGAAGACAGGAAGCCCCATGGAGGGGAACTGAGGTGCCCTGGCCAGCAACCATCAGCGTGTGAAGTCATATTACCCAGCCCCAGTCAAGATTTCAGATGACTGCCGCTACCTGAGTGAGTCTGGGCACACCAACCGAACAACTTAGCAGATTTCAGCTATATTATCAAACTACTGGCAGGCAAATGGTGGTTGTTTCAAGCCAATAAGTTTTGGGATGGTTTGTGGCATAAAAGACAACTGATAAAACCAGTCTCCCATATCCTTGATTTCTTCTTCTCCTCCAGGGAGAAGTATGGTCCCACCCAAATGTTGCTGTATGACCAATTGCTTCACATGTTCCCTAATCTCAATTTTAAGTATAGTGCTTTCCTGTTACCAACTCCTATCTTTTCAGCCCATGCCCTCTGGTACCTGAACACAAACAATTCTGGATACTTAAGTTGTGTTAACTTTTTTTTGCCACTATAAATTCTTTCAACAGATACTGAATTTGAATCCACTGGGATCACTAATAAGGTCCACATTACAACTTTTGTGGGCTATAGGCATTTCACCTTCATGGGCCTCTTCCTCTACAAAAGAATGTTAAAATTTGTATTCTATGATTGCATTGCATCATATTATTATATATTCATTTTTCTTCTGGTTTTAAAATAAAATTAAAACATTTTGTGGGCCCCTAAAAGTACTATGGGCCTTAGGCACTGTGCCCCCTGTGGATAAATTTGCCCTGTTTCTCATCCACTGATCCCACCTCCTTTTCAGTGACCCTAGCCCCATCACAACCACCCTTCTTTAATTTGTGATCTATCATTATAATCAGTCCCTTGCATATACCAACTCCTTGACCCCTCTCTCCCATCATATTCATCTGGTAAAACCCCACTACTGTGCCTTCTCCAACCTGCAATGAAGCCAATGTATGTGGCTGAAATAAAAACACATCTTTAGGCTGACTGATCTCACTTAAATTCATCCCCCTCAAACACCCTTTGTGTTGACCATCAATGCTCTTAAGTTCCTCATTTCCTCCGTTCTATGTACTCTCCCACCCTCCCCAATAGCTATTTTTACTTTCTCCTCTCTCCTCCAACCTCCAACCCCTCCTCCTTTCTTCTCACTATTTAGTGGTCTTGCTTCCAACTCCATGGAGAAAATATAAGGAATCTGAAGAAAATTTCCACATGCTTCCACCGCCTACCTGCGTCTGTCTCCACACACTGTGCCGTCCCTCTTGTCACCATAAAAGCACTGCCTGTGTCCTTACCTAGGTGAACTCCTGTCCTGGGACCCCATCCCTACTTGCCTGTGTAATTACAGGGCTCCTGCAGGGCCCCCCCAAATATTGTGCTTAATCAGTTTGCTCTTTTCCATGGGATAATTTTCCTCATCCTCTCTTCCATCTCAAAATAAATAAATAACCTCTCTAATCCCATATTCTCTTCCAGCTACATTTTTCTGCTTCACTTTACTGAACACTCTTCAAAGACATTTGCCTGTAATTGCTATCCTCACCTCCTCTCTTCCAGTTTTCTCTTGAACTCACTCTGACCTCACCACTCCACCAGAATTACTCCTGTCATGGTCCCCAGGGCCCTCACCATTATTAAATCCAATGATGACTTCTAAATCCTGATCTCACTGGCTTTGTAAGCTGTATCTGAGTTGTTCACCGGCCTTCTAGGGCCATTCACTAGCTTTTCCACCTATTATGATGACCACACCTCTTCGGTCTTCTTTGCTTCCTCATCTCCCCAATTTCTTCTGCAGCCCCATGGCTCAGTCCTCAGACCTCTTCTTTTTTCTACCTTTACTCACTCCCTTCATGATCTCATCCAGCCTAATGGCTTTAAATACCAGCTCTAGGCTAACAATTCTCAAGTGTATATTTCTAGTCAAGATTTTTTCTTGAAATCCAGACTCATGTATCCAACTGCCTACTCAACATCTCCACTTGGATTGGCCAATAGGCAGCTCAAATTTAGCCAGTCCACATGCAAACTCCTAATTTCCAGCCTGAAACAGTCTTCCTATGCCAGTCTTACCCATATCAATAAAAGGTTATTCCATCAGTTCAGTGTTTTAGGCCTAAATCCTTGGCATCATACTTGACTCTCCTCTTTCTCTCAAATCCCACGTCCTGCAAACCTTGTCAGCTTGCCTTCAGGTTCATCCAGAATTTGACCACTTTTCACAGCCTGACCTCGAACGCTCTGGTCCAAGCGCTGTTATCTCTTGCCTGGACTGTTGCAATGGCTTCCTAGTGGGTCTTCTATTATCATATAGCAGCTGGGGTGATCCTGATCAAATGGGAGCCAGATAAATGCAATGTGGTAGTCTAAACTGGATCCTGAAACAGGAAAAGATCAGTAGGGGAAAAACGAAGTCTGAATAAAGTCTAGAGTTTAGTTTACACTAAGGTACCAATGTTAGCTTCTTAGTTTTGACAAACATACAATGGTAGTATATAATGTTAACACTGGGAGAAACTGGGTGAATGGTGTATGGGAAACTCTCTTACTATATTTGCAAATTTTCTGTAAATATAAAGTTATTCAAAAATAAAAATTTTTTAAAAAATGGAAGTTAGATTATGTCACATCTCTGCTCAAAGTCTTCCAGTGGATCCTATCGGCCTTATCCCCTCCACTTCCCTGCCTCACTCTGCTCCAGCTAAACAGGACTCTGTTAATTACTGAACACATCAGGCAAGTTTCCTGCCTCAGGACATTTGCACTAGCTGTTTCCTCTGCCTAGAATGCTCTTTCCCAGATATTCTCATAACTCATTCCCTCAAGTCATTCAGTTCTCTGTTCAAGTTTCATTGTAGCCCTCTCAGATCACCCTATATTTTAACCCCATCCCCAACTCTGGCATATTTCCATATTTCTCTGACCCACAGGAATCTGAGACATAATAAAATGATTGTTGTCTTAAGCCAC